CTTTTGGATGACTCATCTTCAGAGGAAATTTTCATTGTTGATTTGTATTTGTGACACATCATTTTGTTTTTTGTATTCAATCTCTCTTTATTTCGCTACTTTACAGTTACTTAATGATCAGTATGGCTTATCATTATCTTCTTCATCTTTTAGACATGAACACAGTATATGTTGTTGGATTCAAGCTTCTCTTAAACAATATTTTTGATATCTTCTCATATGTGGATACTTGTAGAGAATCTTGCACATGAGCTTGTCAAGATGTTTCTATCAGAGCTAAGTTTGAAGGTATTGATTATATTCCTTAAATTACATGCCAGTTCTTTTCCTGTTGCTTGCATCTCCTTTTAGTAGTAACTTACTTCTGATGCTGGTCTCTTGTCTTTTCCTTTGTGCCTCCATGATATTCCCTCTGGCTGTATCTTGAGTTCTCATTTCACTTGGACAGAGGTTCCTTGTGGTCGAGTTACTGTCGATTAAACATGAGGAAGGTAAAGGACAATTCGATAGATTAAAATGGTCAGATGAGCTATATTCTGGAGAATTTCAAGATCTAACTATTAGTGGTCTGTGCTCTGAGAAAAATGTTGAGCCTTTACTTCCATCGCTAAGAGGTCAGCAACCCTGTGCCTCCCTGACCACACAAGTTGATCATCCTTTGAGCAGTGATGTTTTGCAGGTCAGTTGTTTTATAACAGTTACTCTTAAATATTCTTCCAGTTGTCCTAATATTTTTACAGTTGGTATAATTTCCGTCCATTGCTTGCTAAAGGAAGTGAAAAGAAAGAAAGAAAGAAAAAAAAAACTAGATGCCTGAGTGGTGTTTTGGCCCTTCTTAAGTTCATCTTAGTTGATGACAACATATTGTGGCATTTTCAGATTGTTTCAGCTTACGATGCTCTGAGGTTTCTCTTTAAAATTCAGTAACTTACTAGATTTTATGATTTGTAAAATTTACATCAATTATACTCAATTTTTTGATTCACTGATTTGTATTGGGTCAAATGTTATTTTCTGCTCTATTTTTGTTTGAAGCTGAATGACTTGTTTGAATATCTGGTATCTGGATATATGATTGCAACAAAAAGGAACTAAGGTTTCAAACAGTAGATTGTGACTCTGAGAGTTCAGTTACTGTTGTTTATGTTGAATCTTACTGACAATTTGACCCTTTCAGGAAGTGGTTTTTATGTATATGGACAACAAAATTTTCTTTCTATCTCACAGTTAGTTTGGTTTATTGCAGGTGTACCTAACAACATGGCTTGCTGATGTAAACATTGACACGAATAGGTTTGGAAAACTGAAGCTGATATCTTTCCCAGTTATATATAAATGTTTGTTCTATTAGAAATTAAATTAAGCCCAAAAATATTGTCATGCATACTGGACCTTAATAGCTTGTTTGATGACCATTGGTGCGAGTTTTCAGGATCTTTTAATTTGACAAAAATCAATATCACTCTCTTCATTGTTGGCTGCATCAAAACTGTGTACTTATTAGTTAAATATTTGATTCTTGTGCATGTGTTCCTTTTGAGTATCATCACCATATGTGATCATTATGGTCTCAGCCACTCAGCTATAGAGTACAACTTAAGGATGAGAAATATTCATTGGAAGTTTGAATAGAACTTCAATACAAACTGCCAACCATGACGACCGTCATGCTACCAAGTTTTCCAAATATAAGTTTTGGCTAGTGAGAGATTATCATAAAGCCTTAAGACTAGTTGGCTGTTAGTTTATTGCTGATTAAGCTAAAGCAACCAGGGAGTAATCTTTAATTTTCCTATATTTTTAAAGGGTTCAAAAGAATAGGAAGCGACAGATATTGCTACAGTATCATGTGACATTAACGGCACGAAAAGGTCAAAGAGTAGGTTGTAACCTGCAAAATTCTCTCTTCAGTGATATATACAACAATTTTTTGTTTAAGTTCCTGGAAAGGTATAATTTCAAGAATCTGACTATTCACGACATACATGTATATTGAATATTAGACATTACGGGCATGAATATGGTATTTTTTTAGGTATATATATATATATATATATATATATATATATATATAACTTTTGTCATCTCTGTTGTGTTAAATGAAACAGTTAAAAGTCAATAAAAAAATAGCTTGATTGTTTTGATGTGATCATAAGTTGTCACTGACTGGATTAATTTTAAGATCCTATGTATGTCTAGTTAACTATGATACAGAAATCAGTTATTTGGCAATTGGATGATGATAAGTCTGAACTCTAAGGCCGACCATTTCTCGAATTCATTTATGGCTAAGCATGGGCCACATATTACAACTGATACTTCAGAATTCTTGGTCACCATTTCTGCTTATAGGTCTAAAGACTTGCACGTTTGTTGTGATCCTCTAGCCTGAATGTTTATTGAATGTATATTGCTATCTTATGATGGGAATTCGGAATGAGGTGAAATATTATGTAACTGCAGTATCTTTCTTAGCAAAATCTTTTTATCACGATATGGTGACACTTTAATACAAGTCATATAAAGAAACTAAAAATTGTCATGCATAAATTAAAGAATTTGCAAAGAAAAAGAACTTTGTTGCACTATGGACGTTGCTATATTTCTATAAAGCTCACAAACATGTAACGCATGCGACTCTCCCTTCTTTTACTTAGATACAGGATAGTTTTGGCTTTTACAGCTTGACTATGTCATGCATCTTTTAATTTGTCACAATTTCATATACTACAGCGCCTTATGTGTTTTCCTTTGTGTGTCCTGCAGAATCAATGACATATTTACTATTGTCGAAGAAGAAACACAGGTCAAACTGTCGTGATGTTTTGAGTGTTCTGAGTGATGAAAGGTTATGAAGAAACATTTGAACTGCGGGGAGGAAGCAAATATGAAGTGTATGCAAACCTGTGAGTCTGATTGTAACATGAAATTTTTCAACATTCACAAGATTTGGATATATATTTAAGACAATTTGTATCAACATTCTTTTGCCTGCTTATCTGTTCTTGATACCAAAGCCAACCAGACCTGTTTGCTTGTGAAAAATATTATTGCTTTTCCCATCATGTTGTAAAACAAGCCTATCCTCAGACAGCATGAACAAAGGTAAAGAAAATTTGTACTGCAGCTTCTGTGTGGTGGCTGCTGCTGCACCAAAACATTTTTAATAAACATTTATAATTCTTAATATTCTAATTAAGTTTATATTATTCATATTTATGCAGGAGAACTTATTGTGGCTCTTAGCTTTGCAGTGGAAAGAGAGTAACCAGAGCAAGATAGACTTGGAGCAATGACAGGTAATATTCTGATCTCAGTTTTATATAGTTGGAATTTGGAGATGAGGGTATCAAACTCTGTGAGCTCCACAACTTAAGCCCCATCCACAAAATAGCTCAGAATAGTATCTTTCATTACCTTTCCATGGACTTGTCAGTCACTTTCCAATCCCTTTGATTCACTTTATGCCCTCATTAAAATTCTATCAACCCCCATCAACGTCACTCATCATTCTTGTGACAGCGTCAACCTCTCAGTCCTCATCATTGGCTGCCGACTCTATAAGAAATTGATTTGTGTCGATTCACTTACTTTTAGAGCTTTGAAATCCCTGTCGTAGAAGGGACAGCAGCCTGAATTGTAGAGTTGGAAATGGTCCAGTCATCATTTGTTTAAGTCTCAAGGTCTATTTTTCCTGTCTCCAGTGTTCTTGCAGTGTACTCTTACTCTTTCTCTCACCCCTCATCATCTCTTGGCATGTGACTCGTGGTCCATGGCATTCCCCTTGCAACACAGTGGAGATGGGGTCAGCGGATATCCTATGCCACGTTATTTTTGCTGTACCCCCTAAGGTTTTCTTAACGTACTGTCACCATACAAGGGTCATAGCATTCCTAATCGCCGTCCTCTTCTTTTAAGGTAATCCAAGAACATTCCCAGGAGGGTACGTGATGCGAACAGAGCCAATGCATGCCGTGGCTGCAGGATTCTTGGCGATTGCTTCCTTTTGTCTGCTATCTGGCAGCAGTTCCCATGCAGCACTGCAACCTTAACACCGGCACCGTGGCCATGTATTTGAGGCATGTCTTCTTGCGAATCCTCGTCAGGTTGCAGCTTTATAACTGATGTGCCAAACTTTGTCAGCAGGGGAATGCAACATGGCACATGAAGCTGCAACTGGAAACGCATATATATATATATATATATAGAACACTGTGCCCTCTCTGCTGCTGCAAAAGCTCACCAATCAACGAGCAAGTTTTGATTGATGTTTTGTGTTGTTGCAGCACTTTAGTATCAAGACAACTTCAAGCTCTTGTTAGCTACTATAATTTCCAAGAAGATTCAAAAACTTACTCTCTCTCGATCTCTTTTTTTAATTTAATATTATTTTGGCTTTTTTTTTTTTTTCTGTCAATGCATAGATCTTATATTCTAGTTTGTGTAAGAAAATCTTATACTTAAATATTGGATCAAAAGATAATGCTTGAGAACTGCACCTCACGAACTTAATCGTAGGAATTCACCTGAAAATTTGAGTTTTACTTTTACTCTTTCACTATCTTCCTCAAAGTTAAACAAGAGCCGAAAAAAAGGAAATGCTTTTGTCGTCTTGTTGCGTAAAAAAGAACACACTTTTTTGTCTGTAGTATACCTACCGGCCCTAACCAACGTGCGCGGTAGTTACCGTAACGTCCGTTACGTTCCCGCCGGCACCAAAATACGAAAAAAGAGAGAAAGGATCCCTTCCCGCCAATCTCCTGATTAAAGCGCTAATTGGACGCTCCGGATCCGCCCACGGTGAAGGATCAGAAAACCAACGGCTGAGATTGGCCGTAATTGGCTCCTGGCCCACTCGTTTAAAGATTAAAAAAAGGCATGGCCCAGCTTCGGCTCTGACACCGAACCAAGAGGTCCGGAATCCGGACCACCAGGTTTCGCTCCGGGCCGCTGGCTTCCTGCTTCCACCCCTTGACATTTTCGCGATTCCCCTCCCTCTCGCTTTCTCTCTCTCTCTCTCGTTCTCTTTATCCATACTCCTAAAAAAAAAACCCCTTTTCTCGCATAGAGTAACGAGGAGGGAGTGAAAGTGAGAGAAGAGCGAACGAGGTGATCGCGCTCCCATCCCTCGAAGAACCTTAATCTGAAGCTCCGAATTCGAGCAAGGAGGAACACCTAAAACCCTAGCTCGGCGAGATGGAGTCCCCCCTCCCTGGAAATGTCTTCAGTCTTCCCGCCTGCGTATTGATCCGTTGATCTGCTGCCGTGTGCTGCGGTAGGTGCCGGATTCTTCTCCTTCTGGGTTATGATGCACGGATTTGTTTGGATTCACTGGTAGAGGTTGTCCGCTTGTCCCCAATTTGGAGAGGGACTGCAAGATTTGGTGGGTTTCCACTTTGTGGGAGTCAGGACTTGGTTCGGACTGCGGTAGCTGCAGTCTAGAGTTTTCTTTTAGTTTGGTATTCTGGATTCAGTGTGGTTTAGCTTTTTATTCTCTTTTATATTGTCTGGGGATATTTTGAGCGAGAGCTGGTAGTTGAGAGCTTGTAGTTGGTCTTTCTAGTTTAGGAGTAAATTATGAGCTGGATTTTCGAAATTGGGAGCTTTATTATCGTGTTTTGCTTCTCTGAATGTCCAAAGATCCAGCTATTCTGACAATATCGATATATCATCTTGTTGGATTAGTGGGCACAAAAGATGTGTCTAACGTACACTGTTTATGGATAAATGAAGCTTTTTGAACCAGAAAGATGATTGGTGCTTTGGATGAGCATACTGTTAAACTTGAGTTGATTCTTATCTTTCAAATTTGTTCTTTTAGACATACAACTCACTGCATCTTCTTCTGCTTTTCCCCCAATCGGTCTCCCCCTTACATTCCTTAATCCCATAGCTTACATCCTTTGTTAGTGATAATTTCACTTTCTGCCTTTTCTTAATTTTGTTCATGGAAATACTTGTTAACACATCACTCAGGACGCTTTACATCAGTATAGAATTCAGAGATTGATTCAGGAGTTTGTAACATTTTTACCCAAAATAATCCTACAGTCGGCTGCCCTAGAAGCTTGTGACATATATGCTTCCTTGATTCTTTTGCTCCTTCCCCCATATGCTATACTAATTCTTCTCAAGTTGATTAAGTATTTGTCATGGATTTTCTTTTTAATGTCTTCTACACCTTGGCATTCTTTTTGAAACATCTGTTTTTGAAGTGGCACCTAATTGCCTAAGTTTCTTTCTTGGACCTTGTTACTTTCTTTGATTTCTCATAATGTGTGTGTTTATCTTCTGTTGGGAATATTTTCTCTGTATATTTAGTACACTTTGGTCCTTAACTGAAGGTACAACCTTGAGTGGGATGACCTGTTAACTTGCATGGTGTTGTATTTGTGTGATTTGTTCCATCCGATGGCTGGGTCTCCTTGTTTATGGATGCATGTTTTATATTCTAACAAATGATTGTTCCTGCTTTGCATTCTGAAAGTATTGAATGTTTTCAATGGCTGTATGAAGAAACAATGACTTCATATGTACAAGGTCATGTACTTCCTGGTATTGGATCATCTTCATCTGAGGAGTCTCACTTGTTTTCATGTAGCTAAGCTCCTGTGGCAGTGGAATGTTATTGCCCGCCTAAATCCTCATTCATCTCCACTGCTTTTTTGTTTTGCCATTGTTCTTTGGGTCATTGTGTTCCATAGTTTGATGCATGATGAGATGTGTATCTTTCATATGATGGTTCTCGATCAATACCAGTGGCAAGTCAAAATTTTATTGGTTCACGTTTTAGTATGGTGCATGTGAGTCCATCTTTTTGAGGAGCTTCATCAATAAGTTTGAGGAGTGAAAAAGAATGTGATTAACCTACACCTTCCATCACCATGAACCATGAAAACTGACATTTGAAACTATCCTTTTTATCTTCGAGAAAACTGTTAGCTCATAGTCAATTACATCCCTAGGTGCTTTATAATTAGGGAAGTGGCAAGAAGCAAAATTGTTATCTGGGAGAAGGGTGAAGGAAGCAGCTTTAACTAGTCCAAATGGAAGCCATATGCTCTCCTTCCCCGAGAAAGCTGGTAATTTTAGTCCTGCTTGGACAGAATAAAAGATGCATTCAAAGTTCTTTTTTTGTTGATTATGATAGTTTGAAATTTCATGACTTTGTTGCCAACTTAACTAGCTTAAGTGCAAAAATTTAGCTTTCGATTTGAGAACAGTGGCATGCATTGTTTCTGAGTTGCTTATTTGTCAGTTATTGGTTATGTTTGAATTCCTGATTTTCATTTCTATATGATTGTATCCATTAATTTTATAGAATTGATTACTCTTTAAGGGTTTATGCATATACAACTCATTGTGATGTTAGGAAATTGCTTTTATTTACCAAGGATATAAATGCATACAATATCACATATTGTTATAACTCTTGGTTACTGCAGGCTGGGTTTTATGCCATGAGTGAAGTCTTGAGAAGGTTCAAGATATATTTGAGAAGGAATACTCACTCTATGGTTATAAGTATCAAGAAGTTGGAAATTGGCTGATTATGTAGAATATGACATGGATAGACCAATGTCTGGATTCAATGCTGTGAATAAGGTTCCATTGCATGGTTCTCAGGTATATGTCTGAAGAGGAAATCAGTATGGTGCATGATCATAGAATACAGATGTTTGTTGTTGAAGTTTGATTCACGTGATTACTATGCTTGTTTCTTTTTTCTTTTGTGGAGATTTTGAGAAAGAAAAGTAGCTTTGATTGATGAATTTGCAATTTGGTACTAAATCATTTTCAAAGCTATGCTTGAAGCTACTTTGAGACTGGCGTTTGTGTTTTCTGTTTCTGATGTCTATTAAAGTTTCCAAGAAAAGTTGTTGTGTTCCACAATAGATTTCTGGGAATCTGTTAATAGAGTTTCTTGGTAGTTGATTGCTACTTATTAGGAGTAATCTCCCTTTCTCAACATTTCCTCATCCAAGACGGCACATGGTACAGGCAACATGCAGTTGTGGCAACAACAGTTGATGTACAAGCAGTCCCAGGAGCTTCATAGACAGCAGCAACTTCAGCAGCTAGATCAGGGGCCATGGCAATCAAGTCCACTTAGCCAGTTGTCTGGTGTAGCAAATCCTGCAACAGGAAATCAGTTATCTACACCATTACATGAGATGCCCATCAATGATACGTATAACTACATATGGCCGAATAATTTTGTTGGAGGAATATCCAACTTACCTAGTAACACTCAGATGTTTATTGCTGGCAACAGAAACTTGATGCAGCCCAGTTCCTCTGCTGCCATGCAGAATTTTGCAAATGATGTTATTACATCAAATGATCAAAGTCAAGCAATGCAATCTATGGGATTTGTGCCACAAGAGATTAATCAGTCTTTCAATGGCATGCCTATTTCAGGCACTAGCTCTGTAAACCAATATTCACGCTTCCTAGGAATGTCTAATAGTTGCCATGATTTGATGACCAAGGCAAATGCATACGAGGCAGAAAAAGCATCGTACCCATATAGCACTGCTCAAAGTTACCAGCAATCTGCTGCACAAAGTTGCTTACAGGATAAGACTCTGTCTGTGCAGAATTATCCAGGAAAACATATCTTTGGCAGTTCTCTCTTACAGAATCTAGGTAATGATGTTACATCAGGAAACTTTCAACAAGCAAACAATATTCGATACAGTGATCAGTTTGATGAATTTCATGGTAGGCAAGAACAAGGTGATTCATCTGGTAATTTACAGGAAAAGCCAGTCTCAGAAGTAGGGAGTTCTAGTGGTGTAGCTAGTCTAGATCCTATAGAACAGAAGATCTTGTTTGGCTCTGATAATGACAACTGGGGATTTTCATTTGGAGGGAGTCTTATCTCTGGCATGGGTGAAGATATACATGGGCATACTTTAGAGAATGATCATTATGGTTCCTTTCCTTCTATCCATAGTGGGAGCTGGAGTGCTCTTATGCAAGAGTCTGTGCAAGCTTCCAGTAGTGACAAGGGGCTCCGAGAAGAGACAAGTGGTTTGTGTTTTCAAAAGACAGAACAAGTGATGGGAAAGCCTTCGGTTCCAATTAATGTCAACGGAAAACAACCGACTGCTTGGGATGATAGCAACCTACAGAGTGTAACTTCTGTAACTTCAAGATCTTTTCCTTTGTTTAATGATGCTAATGCAACTCCAAACTCCTCTACTTCTCCTAGTAATCAGAATTTTTCAGAGTTTGCTCATGAAGAAAATGATAGGATTTTAACTGAGGCTCCCCAAGTGTCCTTCAAGTTGTCCACCCAAGGAGCCAATAACAAAGAGTTCTGTCAGAATCAAGATCAAACCAAACTCGTAGAAGATGGTCTCCTACCTCCAAGACCTTCAAGTAGTGGACTATGGGTTGGGAAGACCATTGAGCAGCATGAGGAGATTCAGTTCAAGTCAAAAGACATAGGGGGTCGTTGGGGTGACCAGCAAAATTTGCCCCTGTCCGATGCTCCTAGTGGCTGGAATTCTAGCTATCCAACGGCATCTAGAAGTAACAAGACTTTGAATTATCAAGAAAACCATGGCAATTTGTGGAAGATTGGTGAAAATCGAGTTTATCTAAATTCTGGATTGCAATCAGTCAAATCTGATATTAGCAGTCCCAAGATAGCCGAGTATTCCTTAGCAAGTAATTATGGTTCTGTTAGGAACCCAAATGCCTTAAAGTTGAACCAGAACAAACAACAACAGGTTACGAACGAACAGAAATCTGTTTTTGGGATACATTTTACCCCTAATACATGTATGAGCTCTGAAGGGAACAAAGATGTAGAAGAAAATCAGAATCAGCCAAGCAGGAGCCCACAAGGATGGGCGACGTCTCTAAATGCCACCTCAGAAAGATTGTGCAATACCCATGAGAATGAAAAAGAGCATGGAAGAGTTGATCCAGGCAAAGGTTATATTGAAGATGCAGCAAAAGAGAGGTCTCTGTGGACTAGTAATGACCAACATCCTTTCATGAGTGGAAGCCAGAAGTCCTCAATTCAGTATGGCGAACATACTGTGGGGTCTAGAATGTTACAGAATTCACTGGGAAAAATGAGGAGAACTGCAGAACCTTCATTCCCACCAAACCACCTATTAAGTTTACAGAACCGATCCAGCTCAAATAGTGAGCAGCCATTTGCCGAAACATCACAGTTTTCTGGTCATATTGTTTGCAGCGATCATATGGACGGATCTAAGGTACCTATAGTTTGTTTGGAGCCATTTTTAATTTTGTACTTTCTTTTCCCCCACTTGTTGATGTTTCCTTATATTGAAACACTCATCCCTGTTCATAAGAATTTTTTTCTAATTTACAGAGGATTGCAGTTGAAACAGGGAATCTTCTGTCCAGAAATACCATACCTGTCTATGCTTCCAGCAGTTCCTTTAATGGATCAACTATTCAATATTCCCAGATAGAAACGATTGCTCAAGCAAGGTACATTTCTGGTTGAGCACCTATTTATTTCCATTACTTTATAATGATCCTTGCCTCCTAGGATCCCCATGCTAGTTCAGTGTGCCATTATCTAAATGGTGCATGCTACAGATTTTGCCTTCTTTGCCACTGTGTTCTGTCTTTTCCAACCAAATGGTCATGGGTTTTTAGAATGCACCTAACTATTTCTTATATTACAGTTGTTGTTGGATCAATCATTACGGAAACATTTGTTGTTGAATTCAAACTGGATTTCTACAAATTCTGTAGAGGCCATTTTCGGTTATTTACCCAACATGTCTGGTTTCAGCATTATAGATCATATGCATTTGGATCTTTCTAATGCTTGAATTTATATAATTTATTGCAGCAAAAATGTGCTTGAGCTTCTTCACAAGGTTGATCAGTCAGGGAATGGAAATTCTGTGAATTCATCTGATATACCTGCACAAGCTGTTGCTGATTTTTCTGTTACACATGCTCACTTTGATGGGTCTTCTAACATAAAGGGAATTGGATTGCAATTGACCCCTCCATCTGTGCCAATGTCTCATAAATCCTTCAGTGATATTAACAGTGCACAATTGGACAATAATGCAGGATATCAGAATCAGGGATGGTCTAATTTTACATCTTCAGCTCGATCTGTTCTTGCCCTTGATGATCCCTCTAAAATAGACAAGTGGGATAAGATGTCCAGCCTACCTGGGCAGAAACTTAATGAACACCCAGAAGCAAATCAGCATTTTAACTACTCAGCCAGTGCTGATTTTCCCTTAGCAGGAAATCAACTGCAGGAGCAGCAGCAACTTCAACAGCAACACAGTTCTAGTGCAAAAGATCACCTGGAGCACCAACAACAACAATGGCAACAACAACACATTTCTAACACAACTTCTCGTGAAGTATTGGATCAGTCTGTCAAATTTTCATTTGGTAACCAAGTGAATGCAAGAGCAATTGTTGAAAGTGCCTCACTCACCGAGCAGCTACATGACTCTAATGATGGAAGTGCATCTGGGAAATCTGTTCAGACATCATTTCCTTCTCTGGTTGGTACATTACCAACCCCGGGTATTGTTTCTGCTGCTGAAAATCATGTACCTGTTGGTTCACGATTTTGCTCAGTGAACACTGATCAAATAAAGCCAACATTTGCAGGCTTTTCTCAAATTACAAATTCCGGTGAGCAACTACCTGTTGTAGAAACGAAATCAGGTTCACAATCTTCATTATCAGGTTTATCTCAGCAAGATGGCTTCTCAAAAATGTTTCACAATGTGTGGACAAGTATATCAGCTCGACAACGTCAAGCTGGTATCAGTCCTCTGCTTACTCCAAATGTACTTCAGTTCATAATAAACCATGATAGAGATACAAGTCCATTGGGCCTGCCTAACGTAGGTGATCAAGTGGACAAGGAAGAAAGTACCCCTGAAGTTGGTTCAAGATCTGTGAATTCGCAAAAGGGAGAAGTAAATCCAGCTCAGGGCAAATCCGTAAATCTGATACAAACTGAGAAGGTGGATGTTATTCCGAAGTCAGAGAATGCATCCCACAGCATAGAAGAATTACTAAAGCCACCTTTAGATGCAGTTCCCAATGTCTCAATTTCATCGTTACTTTGTCTGCAGCAGGAGCAGGATCCACCTCTTAGCTCTCAGGTATTACATGCTCCCCCAGCAAGTATTGTCTCCTCTAGCGGCGATCTTGATATCTCTGGATGCGTTTTAAAGCCTTCAGATATTCAACAACAAAAATACTCGCTACTTAATCAAATACAATCCATGAAGGCTTCTGATTCTCATCTAAACAAGATGACAGGAAACATACCAAGAGGAACTGCTTTTAGTTCCAATACCTCACAGATGAACTTCAATATGGATCAAAGATTTGATCACAGGCAAAATGCAGTCTACAGATTTTCTGCTGATGGTAAAGTTGGAGCAGCTTCTCAGATTTTGTTTCCATCAGATGCTAAAATGCTAAGCTCTGATTCAAGTGACATTAAAGAAAAAAATCCAAGCACATCAATTGCAGGACGGCCTGAACTCCATACTCACACACGTCCCCTTAGTACAAATTCCACAGCGAATGTATTGGGACGTAGTGAGCACACATGGGTTAGCCCTCATATAGCTCCTTTCTGGTCTGAACATTATGGAACCTACAAAAATGGCAGAATGGTTGCTCTATGTGATGCCCAGAGGAGTGGAAAAACTGCCATTCAGCAGCCCTTTGTTCAAAAATTTCCTGCAAGGATGGATGATAGTGATGTAGTGGAACAAAAGCTTGACAGCAGTTATGGTAGTAGCTATGGCCAAGGTACATCAGCCATTAAGACAGATCCCAGTAGATCATCTCCTTTTTTGCTGGCTCAGAACGTCATGGACCATGATATAATTCTAAGATCGAAGAAACGCAAAAGTGAAATTACAGATATGCCATGGCATAAGATCATAACAGTGTGTCCAGAAAGGTCACAAAGCATCAGGTGTTGATGACCTTTTGCTTAATTAGTACCTTATGATTTATAATTTGCTATTCAAAGAATCATCATTTAGTGTTGAATCAGTCAGATAAATTTGCTTTTTCTTCCTCAGGATGACAGAGTTGGATTGGACAATGTCTGCCAATAGATTGATGGAGAAGGTTAGTTTATCTCACCGATCTGGCTGGTATTAATCACTTTTGCATACTATATCTCAAGAGCTCACAAGTGAATTATATGGTTAGATGGATGATGAAGCTGAAACCATGGAAGATGACCTGTTGATGCCTCAATCACGAAGAAGGCTAATCTTGACAACTCAGCTGATGCATCAACTTATTCCAGCTGTACCAGCTATGCTGTTCGAAGGAGAGGCAACTTCAGCCTATGCAAGTGTGACTTATTCTGTCGCTAAGGCAGCCCTCTCAGATGCATGTAGCCTGGTTTCATTTTCAGAAAGCGATTCCCACGTTTTGTTGGGAAATGAAAATATGTAAGCACCCTCCTGAAATTCATCAAGACCTTGTAGTATGATCTCACAATATTAGTTTGTTTTCTCTTACCTATGAAATAAGGATGCAACATTTTACAGTTCTATTGTGATATCTATGTTGTTTGGGTGCTTACTGTCTCATATAATAAATTTTTGAAGTTCGAACTATTGCCCCTAATCATATATCTTTTCCCCACTTAACTCTAGGATTTTTGGGGAGCTTAAGACTTCACAGAAGGTGGAGGACAATACTTTCTCAAGGTTTGCAGAAAATTTCATTGGTAAATCCAAGAAACTCAAAACTGATTTCATAAGGTATGAGTATTATTTTCTTTCCTTTACCTTTAGATGCCTTTTTATATATTATTTGTTTGAAATTATATTTTTCTAGTAGTTTTGTGTTAGTTTCCATTGTATGATCTGATCAGCTGTGTCGATCAAGTGTGATGAGCCAGCTTATGAGCATTGTGGCCTATTATGTTTTCTGAACTTATTGGCAAAGACCAACGGTGTTGATCATGAGATGGAATAGACCCATCCTCAAGTGGTTTAGCATATGTAGGACATTGATCTTGAAAAAATGACTCCTAAGGTGCTATCATGTCAAGGATAGGTTATCAGTATCAAAAGAGAGCTTTAAAGGAATTTCTCGTCTACCTCACGAGACCTAGTTGGATGCAGGCTTTAATGCTGTGACCCAAATGGATTCGTAAAATTCCATAAGATTATTTAGAAAGAGAAATAAATTGCATTATTAGTTCTCTGGTGCAGATTGTTTCTTATTGTAGATTTTCTCTTGAATGCTTGTACCTGAGGAAGAAAAGATAATGCATCTCCCCTGGCATTTTGTTGTGTACCATGTTCTAAGAAACGGTTAAGAAATCTAACGGCATTTTGAGCTGAGTCATTGGCTGGTTATCTGGCTTTGGAGGGCCACATTTCATATAATAATCAAGACACTGCTAAATATTCTGTATGCATTTTTCTCGCTTTACTTCTTGAACCTAGTAATATTAAAAAATTGAATCAGTACGATAGTTGTGAATTTACTGACATTGCAAGTTTTTTTTCTCACAAGCCAAAGTCTCCTTCGTCTAGTTTTTATATTTCTGGCCATTCTTCTGTACTTGATCTTTTCCTTCGACTGATCCAATTCAGGTTGGAGAAGGGGTCTACATTGTTAGATTTACGACTGGAGTGCCAAGAATTGGAGAGGTTCTCCATTCTCAACCATCTGGGCAAGTTTCATGGCAGGACTCATGCTAATGGAGTCGTATTCTTTCCGAAAAGGAACATCACTCCACTTCCAGTGCCTGGAAATCTTCCTGAGGGGGTTCTCTGTCTCTCACTTTAAATCATCGATCAATTGTTTTTTTTTTCTTTTTCTTCTTCCTTTCCAAAAGCCTGTGATATCAGTCAATTTTCCTTAATGCTTTTTCAACACCCCCTTCCAACAAAAAATAGAAACGAGAAAAGAAAATACATCGTTCTTGAACAATGTCATCCTTAAAACATGAACTGAAGGGGGCTGAGTTGTAATCTTGTCATAATGTTTAGACAACAACCTAACAGAGGTGCTGGCTGCTGGAATCAGCATCCATGGTGGTTGTTCATCTTTTTATTAGTCATAGGTCTTTGTATATCAATGAAGATAAAGAAGATTAGGGTGTTGCATCATTATTTTTCCAACAGAGGAGGGTATTAGCACATTTACATACTTCTAATTCAAAAAAGCTGCAAAATTATTCTCCTTTTGTTTCCCTTCATGCCCATTACAGGTAAGCCCCAAGTTAAACATGTGATTTTTGCCATCATAACTTAAAACCTTTTCTGGATGATGTCTTTAGCAGTTGTTATCTATTGTTTCTATGTCATGTCACTATAATTCTGCAGATCTAAAGATCTACTCAAGTGCCTGTGTCATTTAAAGGTTCACTTTGGAGCAAGTTGATGCAACAAGTGTGTTAATTTAGAGCAAAATTAGAGCCCATGCCTTCAGAACTTTTAGTGATCAGTGATATGCAAATGACTTTGAGACATGTAAATTATAACAGGCCATCTGGTTTTAGGCTTATTGAGTTAATATTAGTATCCCATAGAATTTTATAATCCTCTGATTCTGCTCATAAAATTAAGGAGATTATAAATATAAACTAATATATTATAAAATGCATTATAAATAATCATTTAAATGTAATTTTTAAATTAAAAAAAAAAATAAGTAGACAAAGCATATCTTTCAAAATAGTTGAGATTTAGTTATGTGGGATAAAATATGACTAATTTGAAACCATATTTCCTATTGATTACCACTAATACTCCCAATGTGAATTGTCAAAATACCTGTATTCAAGTTAATCCGAGATCTCCGAGCATAGTAGTTTGATCGAGCTATTTCTCATGAAATCATAGAATTGTGTGTGGTAAAGTTGTTTACAATAAATAATATTACTAATATATATATTTATTACCAAAATGATCTTGTTAAGCCCGTCTAGCTCAGTTGGTAGAGCGCAAGGCTCTTAACCTTGTGGTCGTGGGTTCGAGCCCCACGGTGGGCGAATATTTTGCTTGAAATTGTTATTTTAATGTTTCAATTATGGTTAGGCAATTCCCAAAAAAATTCAAGTTTTTATTTTTATTTTTTGGAAGTGTTTTATTTTATTTATTTTTGTAGAGGATCTTTAATTTTATAAAAGGATAATATTATCTTTAAACTTCATCACTTGTGCCATTATCACCTCCACCCCTTAATCGTTATTCTCGTCTATCGTTGTCGTAGTGTTATTAAGGCCCGTAACGAGACTTTTGCCTACTACTTTACTCTTAGTATAGAAGTATTGTAGTCAACCATTCTAGCTAATTGCATAACATAGACTACCACCACTCATCACCTATTTCCGATATTGATATTCTCTTCCTCATTTATCTCTCATGATGAAGACAAATGACTATAGAAGATGATACACGAACAAAAATGATAGGACAAAGGAGACAAATGACCTTTAATTTTTAGTATTCTTTTCATACTTGAATTACTTATTCTACAAGAACATCGAGTTTTAGAATCAAAAACATATTTGTCAACTCTAGTATACACATTACATACCACCCACTAGTATGTTTCTTGGTAGACTTACTTTTCTGTTCACTTTTTTTAATCTACCAGAGAGGAATTGACACTTAAAAAGATATTTCCTTGTATACTTCCTTTTCAAGATATAGATATATAAGGTATTTATTGTATAGTCATGCTTTAATTTTTAAAATTTCTTTCTTTACACAAAGCCTTTCCATACTTACATTATTTGTCCTCCAAAAATACTAATTTTGAGAATAAAAAAAAACACTTACTAATCCTAATATACACACTACACATCATCCATTAGGATGTTTTATGATAGACTATCATTTGATATGACACTATGATATTGTATGGAATAATGACATGTTTGTTGCCTTAGTTGATGGAGTCACATCTAGAAATTTAAATCCATATTTATTATTTCGTGTTGGATTCAATCAAATATCAGATTTCATGCTGATCTAAAATTTTGGATCCATACTCTGTATTCCGTGTTAGATCCGATCATATATTGGATCTGACGCTAATTAGTCATTCTTATATTAGTCAAGTTCAATAAATTAATTAGTTGGAATATAAACTTCATAGTGCTAATTTGGGTTAATTTCCGGTCTACGTCACTAATCCGGCCGAGTCGCTCGGCCGCTCGGTTTTGGGTTAGCAAACCGAGCCAATCATCCATCGGAATCTAGTATCATGTGACAAGTGTTCCCCAGCTACGGCCATGATTGTCCTAATGGCACCACTCAGCTTTGATCGTCCATCCATCGTCCATCAACATCTCCGTTTCCATCTCTACCGTGCTATTGACCGTCCGATCAATCACGAAACCATAATAACCCACTATTATTGTATGTCAGGATATATATATATGTACATACATATATATATATATATACATACATATATATATATATACATACATATATATATATACATATATTTATATATATATACATTCATATATATGTATATATATATATATGTATATATATATATATATATACATATATATATTTATATATATATACATTCATATATATATATTTTTTTTTGACCGTCCGATCAATCACGAAACCATGATGATTTACTATAGTTGGATGGCAGCGGGGCCCATGCAAAAGGATCACTTAACCCATGACGTGACAGTGGGACCCATTGATGGGTCCCGCACGGCGTCCTTTGAGTGAGTGAGGCAGGCAGTGGGTGCGACAAATGGCGTTTCAAACGAAAGCGCCAAGAAAGTAGCCACACATGGTTAGAGAGGGAGAGAGAGAGAGAGAGAGGGACCGCTTCGTCTCCCCCATCGGTTCCCCGTAGTCGATTTTACGCTTCGAGCAAGGGGAGAAGCTCTGGGGTTTTCGCTCTAAAACCCTAGAGGCCTCTTCGCGGTCGTATCGATCGCCTGCCGGCAATGGCGAATGCTGAGAAGAAGGCGGAGAAGGTGAGAGAGCTTATTCGATGCATGCCTTCTTTCCTTTCCATCGTTTCATGCCTTGCTGTGTCTCTTTCTAAATGTGCCGTCTTTTACTTTTTCTCCCTTTGTTTCGATTTTTTCCGTTTATTTTCTTTTCTGATGTTATGGGATTTAATCCGAACCGAGTTCTTTTGAATTTTCTGATGGGTAATGTTTAATCGGTTCTTCTTTTTAAATTTTCTGTAGCTTATTAGGTATTTTTGAATGGAAAATAAATCCTGTATTGGATAGCTAAGTAATCATTTGACCAATTTGTCAAATGCTTTATGCTAAACATCTAATGACATATTCTCATTCCGTTCGAGATTGCACATCTTTTTCCGCGCTAGTAGGGAGTGAAAACCTACTGCTTGTGGCGTGCTGAATCATATCAGTGCCTGTTGGAGAGATGAAAAGAAAGCTTTAAAGAGACTGGCTAAGTACCAAGAGAAGCAGCAAGAGACGATGTATTAATGTGGAGATAGAACAGAAAGTGATGCTCCCTTTAAAATCCTTGTACATAATTTAATGGCGTACCACGCATATGGCATCTATTTATGCATGTGATGGAAGATCATGTGCTGCAGCATGTTTAGTATATTTTTGGTTATGGAAAGGTGATTCCCATTGTTTTGCACAAGGAAAGCGAAAATGTTTTAATGGATGCATAAGGAGAACAAATAAAATAGTGGATCATGTAGTAGAACAATATGGAGTATTTTGAAATGGTAATGCCACGAAATGAATAGAAACAAGGTGGGTTGCCTAACGAACTAGATGAATCTATCAGGAGCCAGGGATCTTTCATGAGAAGTGATTGAGGTGTCAATGTAGCGTGTGAAGACAAGTTACAAATTGAAATGGTATGAGCATCAATAAGAAATGAAGAAAATAAGGGTTTAACAGCTCCAGTCGGTGAGGATTGTTTGTGGGGAATTCGTATGATGACTTGTACTGAGAACAGAGCTATTTCCTGTATGAAAGGAGAATAAAATTGGATCAGAGGTTTACGCCTATTGATTTTAATTTAAAAGAAAACTCTAAATATGTACAAAAAAGAGAAGATTAAGAATCACAAAGTGTTTGATTTTTCCTAACTTGCAATTTCTAGTCTAGAATTACTGAAAGATTGATGCCTACCATGTATTATTTGAAAGGTTCAGTTTGAAATATGCTACAAATCAAAGTTAGGTTGGGAAATATTTTATTTGTATCATTTTGATTACATAGTTATAGCATTGACTCCATGATCCAAGATTACTTTTTTAGGCAGGACATTTACTTCAAATTTTCTTTTGTGTTATACCAAGTTCCTGTATCTCTTTTCATCCAGGGTTTGTGCATTATTTTTTTACTTCTATTGCTCATATGCAGTGCAATGACATTCTCTTATTCTTGCAGACTAAAATCTGTGATATTTGTGGAGACAGTGGCTTCATGGAAGATATCGTCACCTGTCATTGTTGCAAAAGGGCTTCTGAACACATGTAAACCCAACAACTTTTACTAGCATTCACTTGTCTACAGATATTTTGAAACATGAGATTTGTAAGTTGCACTGTCTATTAGAAACAAACAATGAACTCAGTCCAATGAAATGGCTAAGTAGAAAACTACTATATTGTCAAATATAATATTTTTTTGCCCTTCAGGCCTTTTACATTTTTTGTACACATATATGCATGTGTACATTCATGGATTTTTTTTAATTAACCTAGTTAAGCTCCAACAAACAGCTTTATGGATCTTGTTTCAGCAATCTAAGTACAACATCCAGATCATTCAAATTATCTCTTCCTAACTTCCTTCCTTTCTCCCTTAACTTCACAGTTACACTCTATTCTTGGAATTTCCTTTTTGTCATGTATGGCCTTGTTATGTATGGCCTTTCTTAGTTTCTATTCCATCCCACCATACTTCTTTCAAACCAACCTTTGGAACTTACACTCTTGTATCAAAGGATATGGATTGTATTGGATCCCATCTAGGCGGAAATAAAAATTGAACAATGTGGTTGATTTTCTAGTTGAGGGCAGGTCTTAGTATAACAGTAAAGTTACTACACTTTGCGACCTGAGAGACC